CGATCGGCGATACAATTGTTTCGATAGCTCAAGCTATCATCATCAGTCGCAATTTCAAGTACAACTCAGTTGTACTGATGATGATAGCTTGAGCTATCGAAACAATTGTATCGCCGATCGATATAATCATTAAAGTGACAAAAAGGTTAAAAATTTAAACAAAAACTTTGTTTTTTAATTACTCAATATTTGTGTCATTTTGTGCTCAAAAACAAAAATTAAATAACAATATTTGATTATTTTGTTGTTGTGTTTAGTTATAGAATTTTATTTTTTTTACTTGAGTTTGTGCTGCCAATCAATTTGTTAGAAGAAAAAGAAGAAGGAACAACAATTCCAAGAAACAAAGAGTAAGTGTTCGCCACACTGACACTGTATCAAGAGACGTTCACTCTCATCGTTCAATGCGACATAATTTGTTCGTCTCTCCTCTCTTCTCTCCTTTCGCACGCACACTCACTCTGATTGTGCGTAAACCAATGTATTTGTATGTCCGCGCTTGAATGTAGAGCGCTCGTTTACTCACAGCGACGTTCGTAGTCATTGCATTCAGTTACTGAGATCTCATCAGAAAATTGAATATCTATGCTGAAATGATTCTCTGATCTCGACATGAAGTGTGAAATGTGAAACGAGTTTAATTTACATGTATCGATTAAGATTGGAAATCATTCTACTTCTCCATTGTTGGTAATATGTAATTTTACCCGAATTAACATGTCAACGATGAAAATTCAAATTGATACGATTGTGTATTTCACGCGCATGTTTCACATCGAATTTGATAGGTATTGTGAACTGAATCTGAATCAATATGACAAAGAAACGTACCGTAATATTGCGATGTAACATAATCAATATAGGCCAATTTAAATGCACTACACACCAACTCGAATTTATTGTTTTGATTTAGTTTAATTTCACTGAAGAAACACGCATCATTAAAACCACTAACCGCAGATCGATTGAGATAAACACTGCGTAAGAGGTTTTATTGCATTATGTTTAAAGAGTGATCTGGATAAATCGAAAATATCTTAATACGAATGGGGTCGACAATGAAACCTTACCGAAAATCAAACCAAGTCCAAAGCAAAGCGATCGACAAAAAAACAGTTATTCACAAAATTTCGATAATGCTTGACGATGCGGTGAATTGGGCTATCGCGAAGCAAGTAAACTGTATTTTGATTTCTTTTTTTTATTCGGATTCTCTGCACAAAAGGCATTTTTTCTGATTTTGAAAGCATTTCGCTTCAACACGTTGAACAATCGAAATTCTCGAAATGGATTTATATAACAACAGACAATGATCGATTGAAATACATTTTTGTTCTGGTCAACAAAAGATTTTGTGATCGCATATCCGCCTCGAAATCTATAATAAATTGCAGTTGAAAATCGATGATTTTTTTCTCGAAAAGATGTCGTTACGTATTTTCTGTTGCTGAGTCAAACTCAAAACGTATTCTTCTGTCGATTTTTTTGTCGGAAATTGATTTCAATTTGATGAGCACGCCGATTTATGCAGAAACAATGTCAATTTGATGATTAGTCAAGCTGAAATAATTGAATAAATTTCTCATTGAGCCGAATGTAATAAAAATGTTTAATAACATGGTTTGATTTGGGGTTCGCCTATCATATGAATCCGGAACTGGATCAACCGAAATGACAACTTAAAAAAAGCTGCTTGCAAAATTACGAATTTCCTTGTTAATTACCTTGCCGGTGAAAGTTTTGAAGCGCATACATAGTGGGCATGGCAGAGATGGCATCCAACACCCGTACACTCGTGACTTTTATTATGTTCATAATTTTGTGTGGAGGAAAAAAAAATCCGAATAAATCTTGAGTGAGTGCGAACATAAACAAGGTATAGACAATCGAAGAAAATTGCAGCCAGATTTTTTCCTACTGTTCACGCGCCGCGCGCGAGCATACACGAAAAAATAGAAGAAAGAGAGCGAGAGAGATAGGAGAAAAGAGCGAGCAATGAAGATTCGCATAACAATAACAAATCGCGTGCATAAAAAGTTCAGTGGCCGGAATTTTGTGCATGTCTTCACAAGCAGTGATTTCTTTTCTTTTCTTTTCGTTTCGTTTCATTTTATTGTGTTTCTCGGTTCTCTTCTGTTTAGGTTGTATCTGCTTCTCCTTCCCGTTCTCCATAATTCATCTGACTGTTTTGTTTTGTCTTCTTTTTCTTTCGTCGGAGCACTCTCTTTCGCTCGAATTTCGATCGGTTGTTGCCATACGAAAGACGATGATGAATGCGCGCGAAAGAGTGCGCGCGCGGCGCTACACGCCAAATTCAAACCAATTAATTAACATTTTCTAGGTTTTCTTTTTTTTTTCGTAATTTTTGCGAACGTGTGCTAAGCGCTGTGAACGCGTTTTAATTGGTTATAAGGTGTGCATGGGTACGGAATATATGTTATTCAAATTATGCTCTATTATTTTGATTTGAAAAATGTGAAACGCATCTCCCAAATATGCATCACATCAAGACGTCTCTCGGCACGAGAAAATCTCTAGCCGATTTTTCGATTGTTGCATATATACTCGAATATTTATGTATGCATAAATACTCGACTAACTAAATCTCGATTTTAATGATAGTTTCTCATTTTGCCGAGTACGACTTCAAATCATGATGATTATGGTGAAAGAAAATGCGTATTTATTGTGTATTTGTATTTTATTGCTTTGTAATTGTTGGTGTGGTGACATGCGTTTGTTTCAGAATATTTGTATTGATTTGAGATGAAATGTGCCGATAGCTACGAATACTAATGCTTGTATTTCGTTGCTCTCAAGCAAAAAAGAGTCATTAACTACTTGTTAGAAAGTATAAATTGTTCAACAATTTTTTTTTTCCTTTTACTTAAAGCAAATTACAGTCGTTTTCATTGGCTTCTTTGACCGTCATTTATAATGAATTATTAATCACATTTGCACTACTGTTTAGAAACTCCGAATTTTTTTTTAACCTAAACTTAAGCTGAATCGGATTTCAAACATAATCAATGTGTTGAAAAATTTACTCAAAATTATTGTTGATTTCAATGGGACATTTTGTAGTAGTCGGTAAAGCAATGCGGTTGATATGGAGAAATGCAGTGGAGCGCTGTTGCCATAGAAATGTCGGCCCTATCGATCGATAGCGTGCATATACCCAACTGAATATTCTATGAACCGAAATTAAATGTTGAATGAACATACGGAGCAAATGCGATGCGTGCAGCCGGTATGGTATGATGTCGGTGCGCGGTGTCTAATAAACAAACTCACACATTTCGAAGCGGCATTTTCAAGGGTATTTTCTGCATCATTCTGCAGTAGGTTATGTGTATCGGGAGTGCGGTGTTTTCTATCCCCTCGGCGTGATTTCTATTTTCATCATCAGGAAACGAAATGTGGCCCTAATTTTCAAACGTTCATTATGATTTTTCGACAAACAGGGGATTAAAATCCATTGATGTTTATCCAACACTCAACAATAGAATATTTCGGCAATGTTTTCATCTTTTATTTACGACTCACCGCCAGCTATGTACCGAATAATGCAATTCACAAGTGATGAAGAGAGAAATGAAATCAGCAGGAGGAATCTTGAACCTGAAATTTGGCACATGCGCAAGTTTAAAGTGCACACAACACGGATGAAGAAAAAAAAAATCAATTCGAATACTGTGCCGAATGTGAAGAGCAGAGTTTGAAACAAAGAGCGGATAATGATTTTTATTCGAGTATTTGTGATGATTCCTCTTTTTCATTGTAGTAAATGAGCTTCGTTTCTTTTCCTTATACGAATTCCATTCGAGAATTTGTATGCGAATCGGTAACCAACACGAAACGTCCATAAATACATTTTTTTTTCTTTCGGATTTCCGTTCGTCAACAAAACAACAGAAAAAAATATATAAGTAATTTGTATGACGCGAGGGAATTACACGACGGACAAATAAAATTGTGTTCTTCTCCATTTCACTTGTGACTTTCACATTTATTCTGGCGTCTATTCATGCCACAATTTTCGTCTAGTATAATGAGTATTTTAAATGCGTCACCTATCTCGCATACGAGATACGTTCCGTACATTTTTCGGGCGATTGTCATCTAAATAGGCTATCACACCGTCGTTTTCATTTTCAATTGTTAAACATTTATTGCATTATTGTTATGTCCGTTTTCATGCCATGTTTGTATACGATATATTTGCCGGGCGAGAGAGAGAGAGAGAGAGAGAGAGAGAGAGAGAGACGAACAAGTAATTCCAAAATATTTTGTCGAATTGTTGTTATCCTTTTATGTGTGTGGTGCGTGCTTGCGAGCGAGCATATATTCACATATTTTTCATCCCTAACCATTTTCATCATTTTGATACAATGTTTGTCTGTGCCTTATATTTGCCAGAGAGCGTGCCACACCTTATATGCACCGCAATAAAATATTCGATTTTTCGACAATGGCAACTATAACGAAGCAGACTTGATATTTGCTTTTTTGTTCTTCTTTTCCTTTCCTTTTTTTTCGTTGAAGATAAACATTCGAATCGCGTGCCTTTTACATGCACCATTGATTCCTTTCATCTTTCTGTTTATTTCGTCACTGCAATAGCGCGTCAATTGAGTGCATTTTGTGGACGATGAGGTCCTTATGTCATGTGTACAAATCGCAAAAATCTCAGTGATTTTTCCATGTTCTTCGATCTGTTTTGTATGGCTTTCTCGTGCGTTCATTTGTGTTGCCACCAGTGTTTGAATTCAAACTACCATTGGATTGACTTTGGCTTTCGTTTGAGACAGAAATCCAGAATTAATTCTCTTTCTTTAACGACAAAAACATGGCAATGACAAAGCATAATATGACACCAACAACGCTCAACAGACCGTTTTCTTCTGGGAAATTCAGTATCGAAACGCGTTTCAAATTTGATGGTACGCCAAAAATATAAAACCGTGAACCGAATGAAAAAAGATACACAAATGAACGACCGTATGTATCATCACATTCTAAAATGAAACCGCAGCAAATCGTAAATGCTCGAGGGAGGCCATACGTATTTTAGTTTTTTTTTCCTTTTTTTTTTATTCAAAACCAAAATAAACACAATAAACTAACGGAAGCGACTTAAGAGTTTCATTCACTCTTAACAACTGACAATCAACTTGCTTTGTACACTATCTGGGAACACTTCACATTTCAATGCTGGAGTAAATATTTGCAACTTCTATTTTTTTTTTTTCATTTCGTGTTTTCTTTTATTCATTCGTTTTGTCTTTTCGATTTTGTTTTTTTTTTTTTCATGTGCTACTTACCGGCTTGTGCATAAAATAATGTTCGGGACGGTTTTAATCCTTAGTTATCTCTTCGCTGCTTAAATTTTCCTTTTAGATCTTTCGTTCGTATCACAATAAAGTTCAATATTTTCAAACAGATTTGTGTGATACACTTCTATTTAAAATTGGATTCGTTGCAAATGTTTCGTAAAAATCACGTAAAATTTGTCAAATGCTAACTGAGTTTATGCTTTAAAAAATTTGCTAATTCGAAATATATAGTTTTTTTTTTTTTTTGGTTTGTTTGAACGGAGTTTAAAGTTATTGTTGAATCACCAAATCCAGAAAAAAAAAGTACGACTGAATGTATTCAGTAACTTGAGCCAACTGATTCAGAGATTGGCTAAAGAGCCGACTGTATGCCGTACAGCCAAAGTGAAAAGAAAATAAACAAGCAACGAAATGAGGCATATACACACCAATACATTCGCATCGCTCCAAAAAGCAAGAATGAAAAACTCAGCAGCCACAAACTCACTCGCACTCGCACACAGAATTTGTTCATGCAGTCAAATGAACAGCAAGCAAATAGTGCACATACACATACAAAAATACACATGAACACAACAGACGGTATACACAGAGAGAGAAAGAGAGCAGCCAACAGATTTTTCATATGGTTGTTTGCAAAGCAAATTCTATGTTGATTTGCTCTTTACCGTAACATCGGTTCTTCGTTGGACATTTGGTATATCAGTGTGTTGCGTGGCACACACAGTGAATGGTAATATAAAACACGCACGGCACAAGAGAATCGCACAAAGACATTGGCAAAGACACTGAATATGCGTAGTTTAGTGCTTGCAGATTTCAATGCATCACAAGCGGTGCTACATAAAATCATTCTTTGTGCGCGCCGTTTGTCTTTCATTTGCTTCGTGAGTCGGTTAGGTGCTAGCGAAAATAATGTCCAATACATTTTTGTTGGGTGACAACATTCAGTTTCGGTTTTGTGATTCATTCATTTTATTTGAACATGCAAATAATGAAGGAAATCCAAATAGCTACTATATTACCTACCTGGCCAAATACACTGGAGTCTAGCCCAAAGTAATCGTCTTATTAGTAATTTCGTTTATCATTTTTATGTCTAGCTACAAATGAGATCGATTATAATTTACACGTTTGATACGTTCCACATCAATATCGGATCGAAGACGGCGAATGAATTGCTGTGGTACACGCACCTCATACCATGTGTATGGTCTGTATGTGTGTATGTTTCTACGCTTTTAAATGGGCATCAATTTCGGAAATGGTTGTTCATCAATTCCGAATTTTTTTTTCATTTTATATTGAAAGAAATCATGCACAGAAAGGAAATGAGAAACATTGTGAATTGAACGAAATCCAATTCGAATGGGTTTCATTTCGTTTCGTTTGAAAGAGTTTGACCGAGAAAAACCACATTTTCTGTACGAATGAAAGATTTATGTGAAGAGAAAAAAAAAATTTAAAATTAAGTTCAAATCGCGTTCGTTCGATGCGAAAATGTGTAAATATAATGAATGAAACAAAATAAATCGAAGTGAATGAGAAAAGCAAAAAAAAAAAACGAACAAAATCATACAAATAAAACATGGAGTGAAATGAGAAAAGCGAAACCGGAGCGAGATAGAAACAATCAGACTGTACAATATATGCGGCTTAATTATTGGACTAATTCAATTTTTCATCATGTCAATTATGAGGGGTATGAAAAACAAAGCACATTTTCTGATCGTTCACATCAAGCGATTTTCGAAACGAACTTCTTCTTCTTCTTTGTCTTCGTTATAAAACTGTGCTTATTTCTGTTCGCCGTCTGCTAATAGCTAGTGGAACCATGACCAGTGACCACAACACTTTGGTTGTGAGAGCGATTTGCGCAGACGAGCGAATGTATGAGACTTTTTCGAGCAATTCGGAAAGTAGTTTTCCGTTGGAAGTATATATTTCACATTGACAAATTGTGAATCGCATGGCAAATCACTTGGAATTTGAATCGAATCGTTGTATAAGGGCATGGACAATGGACACTGCAACTGAAGCCAAATAACGTTGTAAAGAGTTCGATTTCCAATTTTATTCATTGCACATAAAAACATCATAATGGACGATATAATCTCTATCTGACTAAACGCCGATTGTCGATATTTGTTACTCTATTAAAATCAGCTGAATTTGTGCTGTTCCACATGTAGGTTACAAGTTACAAATCGCCTCAGCCATTAAGAAAAACTAGAAATGAATGCAACGACACAGCTAGAGAGGAAACGGCACTAAAATGGTATCGGCTGCCGTTGAACTGACTGATGGGCTCGCAGCTATGCCTCACATAACGTAAATGTTTTCGTTACAATTAGCTGCTATCACATCCACATTCTACATGTACTGTACTATGCGCCACAATTTTTTTTCCTACTTTATTTTCTTCTTTTATTCCCTTCTTCATGTTTCGACTACATATTTTTTTGCTTATCTTCGCATAAATGAATGTGATTGCGTCTGGCTGTTTCGAGCCATTCCGTTGAATCACTTCAGATGAATATTATAAATATTACATTTTAAAACAGCAGTATTTCTGTATTATTCATCGTTGAACATTCACTTCGATGGAATTTTCTTCTTTGTGGTTATTTTTAGTAATCAAACATATCAAGAAAAACGCTTTTTAAATTCAGATTTTCAGGTTAAAACCCCAATTTCTAACCGAAAATTGTCTGTTGTTTTTCTTCAGTGTAGTATTTTTCGAGCGTCATTTTCTCAGTGATGATTTATATTGAAACTGACATGTTTATTTGACTGCATCAGTTTGTCCTTGGCAATGCACTCGCATCGGCCCCATTTATCACTCTCTCGTCTCTTTCGTGAATCACAAACACATGTTGAAATTTCGGTTTTGCTTTTCAGTAGTCTCCTGTTCGTTGTGTTGCAATGGAAAGCAGCGGAAAATACTTGTTAAATCACTCTAATGGTGCATCACGAAAACAATCTGCAAAATTTACATAAATCCAAAAGGAAAATGGTATGATATGAATGTAGTATTATCAATATGTGTGCTCTGTGGTGTCTCTGATTAAAATGCGTTTCACGTATGCTGTGCGGATGTAATATCACTGTCTTGTCTCAGTTTTCCGCCGATAATGTTCCAGTTTATAGAGAAGCGAACGAACCCGTCGACTCACCATGAAACTCATTGAAACGTTTAATTAGTTTAATATCATTTGTTCGATAAAAACTCATTATTCAATATGCACATCGCTTCGGTTATAACATTAAGCAAACGAGCCGAACGAGACATGGAGCGCAAACAAACGCAATTGGTTTTCATCTTTTCGTAGCATCGTCGTAAATCAAAATTAAGCACAACCGTTCAAATCACGTTGAGTAAATCTGATTTTCCAAATGGGCCTTTATCTCAAGTAATGCGATCGATACAATCATTTTTCGCGTCTAACGCATTAGTGTATAGTATACAATCTGGATACGCTTGCAACAAATTTCACAAACACGATGCAAATAAATGGCTTACAATTTCACGCAATTCGAATGGTTGCCGTTGAAATAAGAATCAACAAATTGTTTGGGAGAAGAAAAAAAAACGCCGATGAGAGTAAGAAAACAAAGTATTGTTTTGTAGTAAGTCGTAAACGAGAACCATTCGTGAATCATGTTGAAAGTGGTAAAGAAAATGCATCGAAATGATGTTAAGGCGCATAAAACATTGCAATCCGTTCAACTTAATAGACGGTTTTTCAACGGCGACATTGTTTTTATTGTCTGCATTGTGCAAACGAAGAAGGAAAATGATCCAAATTGCCCGTACGAAAAAAAAAACTCAAGCTAAAGCGCACGCGGAACAAATTTAAGCACCAATAAATCAATTTAGAAATGTGGTGAAATGATTTGCCGTTCGTTGAGTGCAGAAAAAAAAAAGAAATAACAAGCAACAATCCAAAATGTGTATGGTTATTGAGTGCCAGAAAAGAACATGCGTGAAACACAGCTCGATGTTTTTAATCAGTCAGTTTTTTTCTCCTCTTTCGCGTTTCGCAAGCGTCTTTGCTCCGCTCGTTCGTTCGCTTGTTCGGTTTTTCTTCCAGTTGCTGTGTTCGGATGCATAGATTCGAATGCGAATTACCACACGGCGAGCGTGTATGTGTGACTTCAGGCATATCAAGATCTTAACATTTTTTTTTCAGAGTTGGAAATTGAGTGAACGAAACAAACCGCGATAAATGTTTTTCTTTGCAAATTTGTTCATCCATTCTGATGGCGATGGCTGTTTGAAATTCAATTGGCGTAAATTTGGAGTGTCTTTGCTGATCATTTTCCAAATCCCTTTTCATTCGACGGTTATTGGCATTCGTGCAAGCGGTTTTTTGGTCAAACTCGCGCTCATATTTTGGGGGAAAATTTCAAGTTTAAAAATTAATTGCCTTGAACAATGACTTTCTTATTTTCGAATGTTGCGAGAGGTTTATCGTTCGAGAAAAGAAAAATGGGCAAATTTTTCACGGATTTTTCTCTCGTTCACTTTAATTGTAGTCGCTGCCGCCAAGCAATCATTGTTTGAGTCACTCTTGCTATAGCCGTAGCTAGAGCTGTTGCTATAGTTGTTACGTGTTCGTGGCTAATGTAATTTGCCGTCATTCGTATGCACTTCATGCATATCAGTTCTTGCATTTTCAAATATGGATATCTGTGTTTGTTGCACACTTAAGCACGCCCAATGCACACTCACAATTAATGCACAAAACCTCGCAGAAATAATGCTCACTGATCATTTATCACAACACCGAGATAGTCACAATACATGCTTACAATTCAAATTTATGTAAAACTCAGCGAGCCCTTCTTGTGCACTGAACAAAGGAACAAAAATAGACGCTGCAAATTATGAATTTAACAAGCACATACAGTCTACACCAAACTAACATCCATTGCACCGGATTCTTTCTATCTTTCGACACGATGCGAGCACAATTATAAATCAATCGTTTGCATCGCGCAGCCATTTCTCGGTTATTCTATTCTTTGCTTACCAATGAAATTGGTCTGAGATTGATATTTCCAAATTGTACTCGCCATTCAACTTTGTTCAATTTGAAGAATATGGGATTTTTCGGCATGTTATATCATTGTTCATATTCTGCTTCCATTTCACGATCATTGCTTCATTAGGCGGTTTCCTTTCAAGCGAAAATCACACATTTTCGTGCAATTAAACCTTCACTATTCTCTGTTCCATATATTTCTTTGTTCAAATACCCATCAATCCAATTTAAGTGACAACTCATTCGTTTCATGGTACGATCGTTTTTTTTTTTCGGGCAAAACTTTCGGAATGCCATAAAAATAACAATCGTGTCTGTCTGCAGCAAACAAAATTTGCTTTCTAATTGAAAATTATTGTTTACGATGCAACGTTTTTTTTTTCATTATCTAAATTAATATGGTGCGGTTTCGTAGAAGAGCTCACTCATAGATAGCATAATTATGGTGGGTTTTTTCCCATGGTGTCTTGGCATTTTTCAACCAATTGGATTGCGTTACTTCTACCATATCAAAATAACTATACCATCCTATCATAAAATTCCGATCAATTTAGGAGAATTACAATTCAACGAAACTAGACATGAATCATCGGGCGTCGGTCGACATTCTTGAATGCAATGCACAATCGGCTTTGGCAAAAAGGCTTTTTATTGAGCTGACATTTGCTAGCACCATTCAAAGTAATTAAACTCATTCAAATTCTTCGACTTTGCTCAAAATAATTTGAATATTGCACATGTTTTTAACGAACTCCAATTTTCTTCGCGAATTCATTCTAACGGAGGAGTCTTTGAAAAATCCGATGGAATACAAAAAAAAACACGTTTGAAATTCGATTGATCGAATAAAAAGTTTATTATAATTTGTTTGGTTTATATGCCAATGGTTAAAATCATACCAATACAAATGTCATACTTGGCAGTATGCTTAATGCTCATACTTCAATATCATTAAATATAAATATAGAATTTGTTTTTGTTGTAGTTACGATTAATTTTGTGTGATTTTCCATAAAAAGGATAATTAATAGCAAATTATTGTTTGTCCTCACTGTGGGCAGATTCAGAGCAATTTAAGAAATTTCAACAAAAAGTGTTCTCATTTCTCATCAGCTCAACGAATTGGGAATATTCGTTGCATTGACGAATAAACGCTTTGTTTCAAGGAGTTTTCGCACAAAAACAATTCTCCACTTGTCTTTTATTCTTCGTGTTATTTGTGTTCTTATTTGTGTGTGTGTGTGTGTGTGTGTGTGAAATAATATTCTTTACAGAAAAAAAGTAAATTGTTGGAACTGAAACATATTTTGCAAACGGTTTTATTACTTTAGTTGTGAAACAACTAAACCCGTGACTATAAGACCAATTATCACAGCAATAAGTAATAGAATAATAACTTTTCGACGATATTTCGCTTGATATTCAGCCGCTTTAACCAATTCCGATCGACCCGCTTCAACATCATTGCCCACATTATCAATACTGTTTTCGATGGTATCTGAATGGATTGAATAATATTATTATTAAATCGAATTAACATTTAAAAAAACATAGAAAGAATCGTCTTGATTATAAAATACTCACCGATAGTTTCACCTTGTTGATTTATCAATGTGTTGAGCTCACGCATAATTTGATTGACATCGAGTACATCCTCCTCAATTTGACGGACGCGTTGTTCACGATCCTTAAGCATACTCTGTTCAAACTGTAGAGACTGTTGCATTTGCTTCTGCTTTTGATGGAATAGATAGTCGGTGTCTGTGCCAGTATTGTTTGAATCATTATTGAGGTCTTCCTGCTGTGAGGCATTTATCAATATGATTCCCTTCAATTTGGCCGCAATTTGCTGTGGAAATAAACAAAAAGTAATCAATTCATGCATCGATTCAATTGAATTTCAAACAATTTTCGCTAACCTGTTGACATGCCGAATAGATTTCGACGACTTTTTGGAAATCGGACGTTAATCGTTCCACTTGTAGTTTCTGCTGTTTGTCACCATGACGCACAACCACCGTTAGTCTCTGTAGATCCTTTTTTGTTGCTAAAACTTTTTCATTTGCCGATGACTGAATTTGATGCCTGCAAAAAATGAAAACAAAACCCACAATTTATAACAAAGAAACACACTGTGAGTCGCTAATTATTATCATTGAAGTTTTCGGCAACAAAAAATACGCAATTAATTTGACCTCAAACCTCAAAGATAACGCGACGAAGTAAAAACAAAGCGGATTTTCGGGCACTGTTCCAATTACATTTCAATTTTGAATCAAATTTAAAATGAATGTGTACGTTTTTTTTTCTGTGTTTTGTTTGGAACTTACGCTTTATCTCGCAGAGCGACTGTATCTTTTTTTCCGCCGATCAATTTCAGAATTTTCTCCAAACTTTGCCAACTCGATTTCACCGATGCTATGTTCTGTGCGATACTTTCGCTCAACGACATAAATTCAGTCGGGCTGAAGCCGGCGAATGTTACGTCGGTTCCAGCTGCGCTCATTCCCGATGGACCCGGTAGCATACCGCTGGTTGAACTGCTGGTTGCGCCGTAGTCACGTAAACCTCGAAAACCTGAACCATTGCCCGTATTCGAAAATCCTCTAGACATTATTTAAAACCGAATCTGGCAATTGAAAAATACAGAAATCTATTACCTTATTATTAAATGAAGAAAAGCACTCTATTTAGGCGAATAAAATAAGAATTTCGAACATATTGTTAGAAAAAAAAACAACGAACGAAAGCAAAGCAACAATTGAAATAATTAATGCGATTTTATGAAGGCTGTGAGAAATCTGGGATTTTCAATGACTTTCGTCACAAAAATAAACACGAATTCGCAAAATGTATAAGTCAAAAACTGTTCGCAGTGAAAAAAAAAATGTGACTCTAAGTCACCAGTGCTAATGATTGGCATATCAATAAAAAAAATATGAATCGACCGAAAACAAAGTCAGTGAAATTCACACCAACGAACAAACAAGCATGCATGCATGTTGTTTTTTTGAATCTTTTTTTCATATCGCTAAATTTTGATGTACTGATCGCATGTAGCTAATAATGTGACTATGTAATCGTATACAAGTAAAAAATAAAAATAATACATAGTAGAAATGGTTTGGTTGTCAGCAGCGTCTCATTCTACAATGTGTGTAATTCTTCACGTTTTTTTTTCTCTGTTTTTCTCCTTCACTACGTATCAAATATGAAAGCGGCGAAGACCCACTAATTCATGAGTCATTAGAAGAAGTTGATGAACCGATGTCAAGTCAAACTTTAACTGGAATATTCATATGATTGTGTGTGTATTGTGAAGTAGGAAATAAATTTGTTGGACTTGATCGAGACACTCAGCAAGATTCTCTCACACTGAACTATTCTTTCGAGCAATTACGTGAAACAAAAGACGAACTCGATGAGCAAGAGAACAAGCAGAGAAAAAACCGCCGTTCAATCGGTTAATGGTTGAATGAGAAAAGAGTAATTTGTTTGGCTTCACCTACATCGATTCAAAGCACTCCTATTCTTCCGAACGGAATGCCGAATCGAATGTTCGTGCAGCCATGTTACATCGTCAATCTATTGGGATTGTTATTATTAATGTTGATGCAATGTAATTGGGTTTGCTCTTCTCAAACGTATATAGAATCCATAATTCTTACAAACTATTCGTTGTGAATTCGACACCTAGCGAACTATAAGTATGCATAAAATTTCCAAAAAAATCTACAGAACACAAACTGTCACACATACAATAGTAATGTGTGTAATTTGTCTTGTAATTTTTATCGATTCGTAATATTTCATAATAATTACTTATGACGTGCATTTTATAAAAAAAAAACTGTTTGTTAATTCGTTGGTTCTCTTTTCGTTCACGTTCACCGAAGCCAAATTCTTACATCAGATTTTATGTGTATGCAGTGTGTTTCAACAATTAAATGTGATTTGTTGGCTCGCTCACACAAAACAAATTTCTCTGTGAATATTTCACACGAACAGCACAATGAACATGTAGTATATACGCTGAGTTTCAATTGAACGAGAACGAACAAAAAAAAATCATGTCATGACGCACCATAAATTGCATGAGCGGATCGAGAGTCGAGTGCTGTGTATGTGGTTGTTTTTTTTTTTATCGAACGAAAAACTCATTTAAAATCAAGCAAATATTGACTCATTGAACGAACCTTTGGTTTGTGCCGGATTCGATTAAGCAAATTCGCGTTGATTCAAAAAAAAACGACAGCACTTCTTTCCAATAAAGGCTTGTCTCACTATTTTGTCCCAAGCAAATAATGCAATGGTCGCCAGTCGCTACTCTGTTATTTTTCGTCTCTTTCTCAGTTGCGACACAAAAAAAACAAGTGCTAGATCCCAATCGAATCGAACATAGATCCAATTTCTTTCACCATTTACCACATTAAATCAATCTGTTTTGTTTTTGTCAACAACACATCGATGCACAAAATGTAGCCCGAGGGAAAATGGAATATTAACTAAAATAACAAATTGAAGAGGAATATTTATTTCACTCCATATTAATATTTGGACTGGCTGTTGAAACACACGAACATTAAACTAAGACGAAATAACACTGTGATAAAATGACATTTCGATGCAATGAAAAACGCACACATTCGCATTGAGCTCACATGAAAAACAACGAAAACAACGTTTGTATGGTCGCGAATGTGTGTTGAGAGAGTGTGAATGAGAACGAGCGAGCGAGAAAGAGAGAACGACGTGAGGATCTTGAGAATACACAAATCATACGCAATTGACGTTTCTGCGTACGATTGCTCACAGTTGAAAAGAGCGAGTTCGAGCAGCGCACATATGTTTAAACGTAAAATGTCACACAATGTCACGTAATTCAAAGGGAGGTATTGACGTAAAACATGAAACTCGTTACGTATATAGATTGATGAGTTGCTGATAATTATCATGATTTTCTGCACACTTCTTTAAAAACGTTACATAATATTGTTTCACCTATAATGCAAATGTTAAATTTAATTAAAATTTCAGAAAACATGGAAACTTTTCGAAGCTTTATTTATGTTGCATTGAAAGCCAACTTCACGTCGCTACCAAACTGACAGCTGATAAGAGTTTACCATACACATATATGAAACACATACTCAAACCTGTACACAGCTGATTCATGGTTTTAGGTGTTTGGTGTTAAGCGGTTGATTCATAGAACGCTCACTCACACACACCCTGAGAAATAAGCCATAGCCGAAACAACCAACTATAACCAACTCACCATATACACTATAAACGTTGATTCAGAATCGATGCTGCCGTGACAGCGAACAATCACACACTAAAAACTCGCACAATTTATTTCCATTAGAAAAAAGAGGCAGTAAATGAAAAACACACAAACGGACTTGTTTACGGAATAAAGAACGGAAAAAGAAATATACAGTGAGAGCATTAAAATGAGCATATTTTGAATAGAATCATCGAGAAAACAAAAGCGACGTGTTTTTCACGTCTAAGCATCGTGAAATTATTTTTGTTTTTCCCTTCGTTGGAAGTTCTAGCTATTGCCATATTTTTCTACCAGACCACATAACAAAACTTGTACAGAAAACCAAATTTATGTGTGTGTTTTTTTTTAAATTTATGACAAGTTAGTGACAATTGTTATGCGTGTTTTAGAAAATGTGTACGATAAAAGTCTGAAGTACAAAAGAGTGAAATGCATACACCTAAAATGATAAAACAAATTGTGATCAAAGTGCATAAACATATAGTACAATAAAAAAAAAAAAAATTGAATAAATTTCTGATGATTGGAATCGAAAAATTGTAGTACATAAAATGGTTGTCGATTCCATAAAAAAGTTAGTGTTTTACTTTATAAATAGTAAAGAATTGCTGAAAAATAAAACAACGATGAATACAGCGATAGTGTCAAACAGCGATTCGCAGAGCCTGTATGAAATCGTTGAAAATTGTTTGAAGGACAATGTAAGTATGCGATTTTTCATGTGTAAACATGCATTGTCGGAATGGGTGCCCATTATTTTTGCGACACACTACTCTTGCGTGACATTTACCATCGGTTGAAAATTGAAATTTATTATTTTGTTTCATTTTTTTCTATTTCGCGAAAAACATGCCAATATGTTTGCTTACATAATTAAAATTGGGAAAGAAATTCACCATTTGCGTTTGTTCATTGATTATTCTGTGTTTCAATTTCAAGGTTTTTTGGACATTTGGCGCGACTGTTGTTGTGGTTTTGATTGCAACTTTGATCATAATTTGGCAGAGATGGTTCAACAGAGGTAAGGTTTTTTTTTGTTGCCATTTCGATTCTCAATTAGTTCTTGAATTATTTCCTTCATTTTTTTCATCGCTTATTCAATTGAAGCTTAATTCAATCGAATTGTTTGCGGAGCTCAAAGTTCAATTCTCTCACGGCTTATTCTTATCGCACACATTGCGCACTTATCGCAATCCATTATTGGTAAAAATTGTCTATCGATAGAAAGTGAATTGCGTGTTTCTTTGTTGCTAAGCATTTGATTCTTGATGTTTGTTTGTTGTGCATTTCCTGGCTTGTGACCGATTTAATAATGTGTTTTGTATTTGTTCGCTTCAATTGAGTTGTGTGTGAATCAACTTCCTATTTCTTTATACGACACACAACAAGTTTTATGTAAACAAACAAGACAACAGCAGCAACAACAACAACTATCACAAAAAAGAAAACACGCGTTTCGTTAATCGTCGCTACGAATTCAAATATGTCGTCACTTAACCACTACGGCATACTCAGAGCATTCAGTATGTGCTACACATAAGTTTTATATGATAATTTTCATCACATTTAACTGCTATTCACTGAGATTTCGAGGGGCTCGGTCTTAAATGACTTTGACATTGTTTGATGCAAAGCGCGCTCGACGCAATCTATGAACTCAATTCGATTTATTTTTGTTCGCAATCTGAAGCTGAGACAGCTTGTTGTTATTTGACCTAAGGTGTAATACAGAGAAACACTACCAATTCAATGAGCACAACGAATGAACAAGTCAGAAAAACAGGAAGGATCACACAATCACCGTAAATAAATGCTAATTTAAGCAAAATTTGCAACTCATCTGAAACTTTTTCTCACATTGCTTCAACGCTCTTCTCGCTCGTTATTTTCATTCGATAAATAACTGAGTTTCTCACGAATATTTGACAGCCAATTGAAAGAGTAGTCGTGATCTTTGACAACTACTTGTCTCCAAGCCACAATTTGATTATAACATTTAAATCAAATAGTTTTGATTGCCTGATTGATCAAAATTTGCCGCTGTGTAGGCTTTTAAAATTACCATGTATCTTCCAACCTGAATTTGTAAGTAATTCCACCAAATAAATATATGTTTTTTATATTTCTTCTACTCCCCCGCTGTTATTTCCCAAACGTTCAGAACGGCATCAAAGCCCATACGATAACATGCAATTTAACAACAATCGTTTACGCTTTCGTAAGCGTGACAAAATGCTTTTTTATGGGCGACGCATGTTGCGCAAAGTGAAAACACTATCGGGTCAAGCATACAATGGACAAGGGCGCAAACGACGAGCAGTTGTTCGCTTTGCTAAACGTATTTTGAATATTAAGCGTGACGATAACTTACCCATGTTGCTGAAAACAGTTGAACCACCAAATGAATATCTTGAAGAAATGGCCGATGGCAGCGACAAAGTGCCACCAGATGCATTTTGTATGCTGCAAGGTATTCGAATATTTGGCCATTTCGAAAAACCCATCTTCCTGAAGCTTTGCAAATTCACCGAAATCATCACACTCAACACAAACGATCTGCTGTTTAAAATTGGTGAGTTAATTTTTCTAAATATGAAAAACAAAAATTGTCCAAAATTTAATAAATTTCATTTGATTTTCAGGCGATATTGACGATAGCGTGTTCATCATTCAATCGGGAAAATTGAACGTTCTAATCAATAATTCAGATGGAACGAGTTTATCATTGAAACATATAAAACGTGGTGAGTCGGTCACCTCTTTGCTGAGCTTCATCGACGTTCTTGCGGTATACATTCTTTTCTTACCTTTTGGTTAGTAGCAATAGAAGTTCCAATGTCTAATTTCTTCTTATCATATTCTTTGTAGGGTAATGAGAGTGTATACAAATCGGTGACTGCAAAAGCGCTCGAACCATCGCAAGTGATTCGATTACCAATGAGAGCGCTCAAAGAGGTTTTCGATGAGAATCCAGATATATTAGTTAGAGTTATTCAAATTATTATGATACGTTTGCAACGAGTCATTTTCACCGCATTGCGTAATTATCTTGGGCTTTATTCAGAATTGGTTCAAACCAAACCTCACAAAGATCGCCGCCCACAACAACAGCAACAGCAGCAACAACAGCAGCAGCAGCAGCAGCAGCAACAACAAAATTTAAAAAGTTCACCCACACACCACAAACCACGGCCATCATTCGACATTAATACTTATTCCCATACACTCTCGGTTGAACCCAACGATTTGGCTCGACCGGATATGTTGAATGACTTATCAGAGGTAGGTTTCCTGTTTGGACATGCATTTGATCAATGCGCAACAAATTCAAACGTTTCAAGAATTAAATTTGACAAACAAATGAACATAAACGATTTTTTTTTTAGGTTCCGCATCAAAAACACAGTCGTAGGTTTTCGATAGCGTTTGATCGCGAAATGGAAACGCAAACATTATTATTATTGGCTGCTGATGGTTTCATAAAGGAGTTAGGTTTAAAAGAGAGTGATAGACATTTACTTGAAGGACATATTGAGTTCCGTGACGCTGAACCGGGAATCACATTGCTACGAGAAAACTGCCCAGATGTAAATATTCCTTCGAACATAATACATATTTTTGGGTTTTAAGCGTGATTTTCATATTTAAAAAAATTCTGTCATTTTCAGGACGTTTGTTTGCTACTAGTTTTGAGCGGTAGTGTATCAGTGTTGCAGGATAGCATCGGTTTTCCAGGCAGTAAGACTGCCAGCTCAGAGGTACTTTAGGAAAACAACTGAAAGTCACTTTCTGTTGAATACAATATGTATTCGTTTTTCAAATGATTCAATTCAAACAATTTATTGCTTAGGTGCATTCATACAATTCGTATTCGGGCGATATGATTGGTGGATTATCGGTGTTAACGGCAGAAACGTGTCAGTATACCGTGCGAGCAAGACATCACACAAAGGTTGCCATTTTGAGTAGAACTTCCGTTTACAAGTAGGTTTCTCTTCCACAAATATGTTCATTTGTTTTAGTTTAAAATTGTTGATCGTTATCTTTCATTGTATAGTTTGATGCGCGAGCGTCCTTGGACAGTGGTGTACATAGCGAATACAGTTGTGCGTAAATTATCGCCATTGGTGCGTCAGTGCGATTATGCACTCGATTGGGTATTTTTAGAATCAGGTCGAGCTGTTTATCGTCAAGATGAAATCAGCGATTCCACTTATATCGTACTCAGTGGTCGTTTGCGGTCGATTGTAACCCATACGAATGGTAAAAAAGAGATTGTCGGAGAGTATGGTAAAGGCGATATGGTCGGTATTGTGGAAATGATAACGGAAACAAGTCGCACAACAACTGTAATGGCTGTTCGTGATTCCGAATTAGCTCGTCTACCCGAAGGCCTTTTCAACATTATCAAATTCAAGTATCCAGCCGTGGTTACAAAACTAATTAGTTTGCTCAGTCATAGAATTTTAGGTGAGATCTCATATTAAGAGAAATCAATTTATACAAATCAATTGCAACCTAACGTTCATTATGTAAGAATAGGTTCAATGCAGTCAAAGCCTGGACAAACGCCATTGGAAGCAAACACAGTAACGCATAAGTTCTCGACGGTGGCATTGGTGCCGCTGAGTGATGATGTACCGTTAAGTGCTTTTGCCTATGAAATTTACCATTCATTATGTGCCATTGGTCCAACGTTGCGGCTTACATCAGATGACGTCCACAAAGCTCTTGGACCCGGAATTTTAGAACCACATTACGAATATCGTTTAACCAGTTGGCTAGCACAACAAGAGGATCGAAATATCATTACATTGTAAGATTGTATCAGAACGAATATATCTCATAAAAATCAAAAGATTTTTAATTTAAAATTTGCTACTGTGGAAATAGGTATCAAAGTGACTACGCACTTAACGAATGGACACAACGATGTTTGAGACAAGCTGATGTTATTATTTTGGTTGGACTGGGCGATCGAACGCCAACGGTTGGAAAATTCGAAAAAGAAGTTGATAAATGGGCACCACGTACCCAAAAAGAACTTGTTCTATTACATCGTGAAACGATTCCGCGCCCAGTCAACACGCTGCAATGGATAAATGTCCGACCCTGGGTCACAAAACATCATCACATTCAGTGCCCCAATCGAATGTTTACACGAAAAAGCCAGTACCGAATCGTGAGTGAAAAAAGAATTTCAATTGATTTCTTCTTCGAAAGAAGAATTTCATTTGATTTTTTTTCTTCTTTTTTTTCTCTATCAATCTTAGAATGAATTCTACGCCAAAGTACTGCTCGGTGAACCAAATATGCATTCTGATTTCTCAAGATTCGCACGATGGTTAACTGGTAATTCCATTGGTTTAGTCTTAGGAGGCGGTGGAGCACGTGGTGCGGCGCATGTGGGAATGATCAAGGTAAAACATATCCAAAAAATGCTGTTCCTATAATTTTACTTATAATATAATTACTAAAGGCTATACAAGATGCTGGAATTCCAGTGGATATGGTCGGTGGAGTTAGTATAGGAGCATTTATGGGCGCTCTATACTGTTGCGAACGAAACACAACCACACTGACGCAGAAAGCACGTGAATGGTCAAAGGTGATTTAAATTCAAATTTTTGTTTCGTTTTTGTCGATCAAACTAGTTGTATAATCGATTTCAATTCACAGAAAATGACCCAATGGCATCGTCAAATTCTTGATTTAACCTATCCTATTACATCGATGTTTACCGGCAAAGGTTTCAATGAGACGATCGTAGATACATTTGGTGATGTTTATATTGAAGATCTATGGATTCCATACTTCACTTTGACAACCGACATTTCGGCCAGTTGCAGTCGCATACATACAAATGGTATAAAATTCTTACATTTCATATTTTTCTCATACACATTTTAACTCTTTTTTTACGGATTTCGTTCAAATGAAATGATTGCTTCTAAATATCACTTTCAAATAAAAAAATTTGAATCATCAATGCTTGGCTGATTACTGGGAGCGATTCAATTTATGTTTTCATGCAAAAATGGCAATTCATGTTTGCTTAATCAATTCCATACCTTTTTCCGGTAATATTTCCGATGATGATGTGTTGTTTCACAGTATAATTTTCATTTCATCCATTGTACCCATCATTCATTTCTTGTGTGAATGAGAGAAAAGCACAAAGTCCATTTTAATAACACTCATTCCCATCAACTGAACAGATCTGTTTAAAAATAAGTTTCCAATAATAATAATAATAATCAAAACTTAAGACAAAATTGGTACCAAATTAAATGATTTAAGACATTCAAACAAAACTTAAACAATAAAATTGAAAACATTGAAATTTGAAGGATCTCTCTGGCGCTATGTAAGAGCTTCAATGTCTTTGAGCGGTTATATGCCACCGTTATGTGACCCGAAAGATGGCCATCTTCTCTTAGATGGAGGATATGTCAATAATCTGCCAGGTAATTCGAATACTAAATTAAACTTATTAAAAAACAGTGAATGTGAACGGGAAACTAATGAATCTTATCCAAATGGATGACTTTCCATTTATTAATCTCATTGTAATTTCTACATCAGTTTCTTCTTCACATTTCAAATCAAAAACAAATAAATAACACAATTAATGTGAAAGAAAACTACTAAATTTCTAATTGGAATATGTCCTCTATCGCATGATCAATTTTCCGAAATGAAATTTTACTCAACAGCGTCAAATGTCGGTTAGGTGGTTAGGTGAGAAGATCTGAGTCCCAACAATGAACAAATAATTCCATTTAAATTAGATTTTCTGCTTGATCGCACATAGATCTAAGCTATTTTCAATGCACACCTATCTAGTAGTACCAGATCTATCCACCTCTCAATTTGATTTTATATGTAGTAAGAAATTGTGCTGTCTCAATCCATGCAATCCGCACATACACACGCGAAGAAACCTCTTTAGAAGGAATCATTTCAATTGAATTACCAAGAAAATGAGTTAAATTTGTGTTTGTTGAATTTTTGTCAACAAATGATAAATAACAAATTGGCAACAAAAAATCTGTTTAATACGCTAAATCTTAGGTTGTCTATGGCGTTACGTTCGAGCTAGTATGACAATTGCTGGCGTTTTTCCACCAATATGTGATTACAAAGATGGTCATTTGCTTGTTGACGGTTGTTATATTAATAATGTTCCAGGTAATGAAACCCATTGAATTCCATCATCCAAACGCGTGCGAATTGCCATCACGAAACAAATGTGAGACCGCAATTAAATCATATGGACGAACAATCGATTTTTATATGCAACCAAACTACAGATCTTAGCCAAGAACTATAGTGTCGGTTATTGTATATTCTTTATACTTTTCTTATTATCACCTGTCATTTGTTCTATGATCCTCTATTTCACTTGATTTTCAATAACATAACACGATATAAATTGTGTAATTTTGATTCTAATTTTATCAATTGTTCTAGTAACTTATCATATTCCAAACTTATACTGACTGCGAATTTTTTGTATTGTTTTGAAAATAGCCGACGTTATGCTCAATCTGGGTGCAGCTCACATAATTGCAATTGATGTTGGATCACAGGATGATACCGACTTGACGGATTATGGGTATTTATTTGAAATAGCAACGGTTTTTGTAAATTATTCTGTTAATTCTTGTTTTTTTTCATACACCTTTAAGTGATTCATTGAGTGGGTGGTGGCTTCTCTACAAGAAATGGAATCCATTTTCAACGCCCGTCAAAGTACCCAATTTACCTGATATTCAATCACGTTTGGCATACGTTTCATGTGTTCGACAGTTAGAGGTGAGTTTATCAGCACACACACACACACACGCACAAGAGAAGACAAGTAGCCCACTGGAGTGTGTAATTCGTTATTGATTTTGTATTTGCTTTCATTTATTTCATAGGAGGTGAAAAATAGTGACTATTGTGAATACATTCGACCACCGATCGATCGATACAAAACACTGGCGTTTGGCAGTTTTGATGAAATAAAAGATGTCGGTTACATACACGGACGCAATTGTTTTGATGCCATGGAAAAATCGGGACGCCTTGGCCGTTTCAACACATGGTTCAGCAAAGAATTACCAAAGAAACATCCAAATTCACTTAATGAGTATGATTTAGCATTTCATTTTTCGTCGCATCTCATTCTCATGTTTTTTTTTTCCAATATTTTTCTTGGTTTTGTTAGGTATTCATTCATTGATTTAGCTCAAATAGTTTGTAAAGTACCTGAACGAGTTCTAGTCGATCAACCGATATCGACATCATCATCAGATGACGAAATCGAAGGATATATTTCCGAACCATCAAATTTGGTATGTGAATTCAATTCGTTTTCTTTATTGAATGAATACAACCATCTTATCAATTTTATATCTATACAGAATAGAGAAGGTCCAATACATATCGATCGAACCGGCGGATCTCTATCATTATCCGACAATGATCTTGATTCAGATGAACTGGACATTTCGCTTACACTAAAAATGCCAAGGCCAAAGAAGGTGAAAGCGCACATAAAGCATTCGTCAGTGCAAGCCATACCTAAGTCACCAACATTCAGCTAGTTCAACGTTTAAAAAATAAAACCATTAAAATGTTCAAAAAAAAAGAAGCAAAACCAAACAATTTTTCACACATCTTTTGTTACTGTATTCAAAATTCTATATTTTTTATAAACACTTCGAAATTGAAAAAAAATTACAGAGAATGTTCGAAAACACATGGAATAATGGGATTTTTTATTTGAACTTTGTATTTAAGGAATGCCACACACTACTTTCTGGATTAATTAATATTGCGGTCCACACACACATCCAACCACTGTGGGTATAGTCATAGCTTTCCAACGACAGCGCAGTCCTTGTGGCAATATATATGCATCAGTCAATTCGCTTGGATTTATTCCATATTGTCGCATCTTTATCACACTAACCTGTTGTAAACAGACATTTAATTTAGAAGAATTGGATGAGGGTGGAGTAGGACAAAAGGTGGTTTTCACCTGATAATGAATCGGCAAACAATGATGATTTTTAGCTCGTGCATATTGACATCGGTTATGTTCACCACAAGTTACATTTCGAATATGCCGAGGAAATGATGAAGGACCTAAGTCAATTAGAGTGCTCTAGAATAAACGGAATTTTTTGGTGAATCTTCAACCGGGCAATTATATTCTGTTTTCATATTAGGTAAACTTTTTGCTTGCTTATTGTAGGACATTTTAAAAGAAAGCAAATTTAAATACTCACCGCCAATTGACAATCACAACCTGCTCGCAAATGACTTCGTTTCTCTGGTTTTTCTTCGACTGGCATAAAATCCCCAATTATTTTCTCTATATTAACCTCCTCACTGTTGAATTCATACACATCATCTGTGCTTCTACTTTTTATTTGAAGAATGAAAAAAAAAGCAGATTCATTCCTTTCGTTAAAATTATGTCAATAATAAATTGAAGCAGTTCAAATGTCTGATCTTTACAGTTCACAGTTACAAATCAATAGCTCTTCCGTATTTTAACGAAAAAAATAAAATAAACTAGCTTGACTGAATGGGTAACTTTTTTATTAGCATTTTTTTTCATCAAATCATGAATGCACCTTTTTACACTATTGGTTGAAACGGCATTTTCACAACTATCATAATCAGCATAAGCAGATTCACATAAATTCGGTTGTTCCATGACTGCTCTCAGGAATTTAATTGGAATTTTCCGTTGCCAAATTTCATCTTTGGCTTTTGTTATAGCAGCACCAATAATAATAATCCAAAGGGCCTGCTGGCAATAAAAGTGAACGCTTAGTTTTACTATCATTCTAAAATTCGATGAATTTTAAATTGAGGCAAACAATTTCGCATAAATTTTTACACTTATCAAATGAAATTTAATAAAGAAGAGCCTATGAGTTGTGTGTACTTACCCAAGGGTTCATATTTTCAGACTAAGATCAAATCCTGTATGAGGTAGCTCTTTTATATGAGTCGATGTATTCATCACATTTCCTCCCATGGGTACAAAAAAGAGCCTTGATTGACATTCCATTAGATTCCATTGTTTTGGAAACAATGCATGAGTTTCCATAAAGATGTGTAAAAAAATATGTGCGCCGGTGTCAAATCAATGCGAACTTTGTTGAAAAAATCGGATATTATATAAAACAATGGTCAAGGCGATATTGGATTATATTTCATTGCCAGAAACTAGACCAAAATAACATTTTTTTT